AATGAAAATGAATTTTGCAAACATTGCATTAAGGTAGTGGCTCATGGGCTTCATTAGCGCAGTCAACAACGCAATCAGATTAACGCTTCGTGTGCAACGGGCATATTAACTGCTTTTTAATCCGACTATATTGACCTTTCTTTTCAAACTTTCACATTACCTTGCTCTGTCCCACCCTCAAATAACTGACCTCGAATTTTTTCGGTGATGATCAAATCGGAAATGAGATAAGATTTCGATTTCCCGACTAAAGTTTCACCCAAGTTACATATTGGTGTTGGGTAACTGTTGATTTTTGGAACATGCAGTGGCCATGCAATTGAAAGATGTTACCAAACGATCTTAAACAAAGTGATTATTGTGAAGTTCTAGCGATTCAACTGTTTGTCTATAGAATTTCGAAACTACAATTGCTTTACAAGGAGAATAGACTTCAAGGCTACGCAAATATTCACTAAAATTATATAATAAAAATCACTACAGGCATGTGTCAATCAGGGAATTACATGCTCAATTAGGCCGGAAATCTTTAACAATTAGACGTTATTGTCATCTGAAAACCATGGTTTATAAGACTTTAAATAATAACCTTGCTCCTCCGTATTTAAAAGTCTGCTTCCAATATTATCAATACAACTACTCACTTGGGTCGCATAGAAATTCATTGTTAGCAAAACCCGGAACAGAATATTGTAAACGTACGTTCTCTTACAGAAGTGCTATTCAATTCAACAATCTCCCCGCAAATCTAAAACTCCCATGGAGTCTTAAAGTATTTTCAAAAAAGCAAATTGCCTTCGTCCCCGATCTCATGTAGCTATCAATTGGATTTAGGATATATATAAATTTTTTTTTTAAAGGATATAATTTTTTGTTCTAGTCACGTGTTCCTCACTACACAATATATATTTACTATTATAACAATCATTTTGGACCCCATGGAAGAACAGTCTTGTCTCTATGGCTTGACTGAACTGGGTGTCGTTCCGACTTCATTGTTGTCTTCTTCTTTTCTATTTTACATTGTATATTATGTTTGTTTAAATGTCTATTTATATTATGTTGTAAATGTTCTGTATATGTATCATGGTTTTATTGTGCATTCGGAGACTAAATAAATAAAATCAAATGTAAAACGATGCCCAGTATCATAATTTTATCGAGAAACCCAATTGAAAGAATCGTCGCATGTATGTAAGTGATTATCGTATCTTTTTGTGTTTGCGAAATACACTTAGCAAAGGGTGGATACAAAAGTAGCGATAGTATATTTATTCGTTCAAACAGTACACGATATTACTCCTGCAAATTCCAAATATACTTTTAAAAGCAGTTTAAAATAGATCTATGTACCGTGTAACCACTTCAAGTTGCACTCAGAAGTTCATCGCAAGTGCTTTTAAATAGAATATGAACAACAATTAAATATTCTATAGATTTCTTGACGGTTTCCATGGTGAGAAAGTAGGCGGCCTGCACGATCAAGACTGAAAGTTTGCCTGCGATATTGGGTGTAGCCCTTGCGACAAAGGCGGTACTG